AGAAAAGGGACTTAAGTGAGAAAGCTGTAACAGTTGAGACATAGCAGAGAGACATCACAAAACCAGCATTTGCCATAATTGCCAAAGCTCAGAAAATTAATTAAAAATTAATTCTTCAATTTGATGACCTAGAAAATAGAGAGGCAAAATAATGTCCATATGAAAAGGATTAAAGAAGAAGCCAAGAAGGAAGGCTTAGTGGGTTTAACTGGGTGGATTTAAAAATTGTTTAAAGAATGATGAGATGATAACAGTAAAAAGAGATTCAAACTGGCTTTACCAGGAAACTGATCTACACATTTTTCTGTGAAACTTCGCTTGTATTATCTCAATAAAAGAAAGGTTCAGAAGAAAATAACAGAGAATGAGCTAACTGTGAATGATCTGAAAAGAGCGTGCATGCACATGCACACACACACACATTTTGGCTTTTAAGGAAGAATATACAAAGAAAAGCAAGTACAATACTAACAAGGTTTTCATTACTTCTGAGGTATTGAACTTGGCTGCAGAAGAAAGACGACTAGATGTCTAATAATTAGAGATAAAGTAAAAGCTAGCAGAGATAATGGCATGTGTTATGTAAACCGGGTAGGGTTACAAATGGAGATCTTTTTACTGCTATCATAATGCCTGTCAGAGTCAAAAGAGGAACTGGAAGAGGACGTTTTTCTAGAAGAAAGGGGCATAACAGTCTTATAACAGTATTCAGAAAGACAAATTAAATTTAAAATGTCCACAGGGTTCTTGTCTAACAAACATGAGGAAGTAAAAGTTATGGTGTTAGTAAGCGATTAGTAAAAGGAACTCTAAGTCAGTAAGATATATATATATGTTTACATATAACTACATATACAAGATAAATGTATTCAGAGAGTGCTTTCAGATTTATCTGAAGTATGTTATAGAGGAACCAAGGAAGAAGCTTGGTCAGATGGAGGTGTATCTGGTGCATTTTTCTATTATTCACAAAAGAGGTAATAACCACCCTCCTATAGCAGGTTATAGATAAATTTCAAAACGCATTCAGAGACAGCGAACAAAGACTGTCCTTGTCAGTCATGAACAACCCACCTGCCGCAACAGGCCTGTCTTTGTTGTTGTTACACATCTGGAGATGTTCTGGTACGGGCTGCGATCACATTTCCCATCCCGGTAGTGGGAGGCAACGCGGGGGAGGTGTTCAGCGAGTGCCCGCTGCACCCGAACAAGGGGGTCCCGAGGCCTGGAGGTGGATTCACCTTTGGTAGGGCCTCGCCTGGGAGGCAGCTGGGGTGGACGCTGTGAGTGACTGAGCTCTCCAGCCTGCGGGACGGATTTGTGCAAAGCGGTCCTATGGACAATGTGGGAACAGCAACCTTTTGGCCTCCCAGAGGGCAGGAGGCGAGGAGGAGATGCCATTGCGCTTCTGCCTTGGCAGGAAGCAATGGAGGTGAGGAGGTGAGCGCCCCGGCCCGCGGTGCCTGGCCAGGGGGACCCAGGGAATGGGGTTTTGCAGCGGCCGCTACACTGCGCCCAAGTCCTCCGGTTCTGTTTTGTTGTGGAAAACTTTCCACGTCTCTGTTTCCAATCTGGAAATCTGAGTTCAGAAAGAAGGTACCGTAGGAGGGCACCTCCCGCATTTCCAAAACGAGTGTCACCCCTAATCTGGGCTTTTGCCA